TTAATTAAACGAGGCTTCGAGGCAAAGTTATAAATGTAAAAAATGTTTTAATCAGAGTTAAAATGGTGAGTCATGATTTCACTGAACAGAAAGTTCAAGTTATTGAACACTGACCACATCCTGCCCACTGCTAGCTGTTACTAAACAACTGATTGAATATTGTTGTATGACTAATATTGTGCATATTATAGTGTGATTTTATCTAAACAAAAACAACAATAATAATAACAATAATTGATAAATAATGTGTTTTTGTTTTAAAGTGGCTGTCTTGTTTCTCCTCAGGCGGCGGCCATTTCTTTAACAGGAACTCGATGTCTCCTCGTAGCGTCGTCTGTGAGATGGAGCTGCCGGACATCCAGGCCTCACTTGACCTCTACGACGACAACAAGTCCTGAGGCCCGTTGCCATGGTTATGATCCCCCTCCCACCACCACCACCTCCACCGACTGATGGACCGATTACCTTTTATGGACGCAGAAAGTGTTCCTGTGTTCCCTGTCTGGAGGGGGATCCGATCTTTTAAACATTACTTCATGTTTTTATTTGCCCTAGAAGAAAAAAAAACTTTGGAGGACTTGGAGCTGGTAGCTGGGTCAAATCGTTAAAAATATGTTTTAAAACAGAGAACTGAACTTCAGATCCAAGTCCAGCCCAGGAACCAGAACTGGGTACCTCTGGTAAAACTGGAGGTAATGTTGTTGAGCACCCAGAAAAGTTCCTGGAGAAGTAAAAGCGCCCTTTGTTCTTGGAAAACTTACGGAATTTATTAATTATTGGAAATGTCCTGAGTTCTTAAAAAGGTTCCTGAGTTTTTGTAAAGTTTCAGGGCTCCATACAAGAATCCTGGAACAGTTTCTGAGTTCCTTAAAATGCTCCTCTACAAAGTTTCTGGATTCTAAGATGTTGTATAAAGACTTTCCTTAGTTTCAGCTTCCCAGACTCCATAAAAAGGTTCCCTGAAACATTTATTGGATTCTAATAAAAGCTTTTGGAAGAGTTTTGCAGATCCTAAAAAGGTTCCTTGGTTCTGGAAAAAGTTTCTGTAATACTTATTCAAAAAGTTTTTAACCCCTTAAAAGGACATTGGGTTCCTGTAATGCGGTTCTGTAAATGTCCCTAAGGTTCTGGAAACATTTCTGGGGTACTGGGTTCTTGCAGTCCTTTGTACCTAAAAAAGGTTCCTGGAAAAGTTCCTGAGTGCCTAAATGTTTCCTGGAAAGGTTCTTAAAATGGTACCTGTGTTCCTGGAAAAGTTCCTAAAAAGGTTCCATGGTTTCCTGGAACAGTTCCTGAGCTCCTAAAAATGTTTGAAAACATTTCTTCCTAAAAAGGTTCCTGAAATGATTCATGGGGTTCTGAAAAGGTTCCTGGAAAAATTCCTGAGTGCCTAAAGGGTTCTTGGAAGGTTTTTTTTTTAACCTGTGTTCCTAGAAGAGTTTCTAATGTTCTCAAAAGGTTCCATGGTTTGCTGGAAAAGTTCCTGAGCTCCTAAAAAGCTTTAGGAAACATTTCTTCCATCAAAGGTTCTTGAAATGGTTCTTGAGGCTTCAAAAAGGTTCCTGGTCTAAACATACGTACCTGAGACTATCCTACCTGAACCCAAATGGATCTGAGCAGAACCAGAACCCAGAAAATGTTCCTGTGTTCAGTGTTTTCTGATGTTCTATGTTCAGTCAGTCGTAACTCTGTAACCCGACCCTCTGAGTGGCTGAATGAATATTACGTCATTAACAGACTGGATTCCTGTCAGAGTCGGGAGTCCGTCTGAAGACCTTGACCTGGATCAGAACTCCTTGACTGTAAACACTGACTGAGCTGGTTCTCCTGTCTATCATGAGACAGGAACCAGGACAAGAGGAACCCAAATCCTTTCTGGAGGAAACAATCATGTGAACATTAAAGTGTTAACTATCCTGTAGCTGTTTCTCTATAGAACAAAGAGACGTTAGATTTAAAGGAACAGTCCAACATTTCAGTAAACTTCCTGTTCTCTCTGCTGGAGTTCTACAGGGAGGCGTCCTGGGTCCTCTGTTCTTCTTCTTGAACCTTATAGAGATGTAAAGGAGCCCATCAACATGTATTAAACACTGTTGTTCTTTTCTCCAGTCTCAGATGAGTAGCCTAGCTTAGCAAAGAGTCTGGCAGCAGGGGGAAACGGTTAGCACGGTCAGGCTAGCTTCAGATAAAGGTCAAATTAACCCTAATTTGTATCTGGTTAGCTAAAGGCTGGTCAGCAGTCCATCCTGTAGTCAGCTGGTTAAATTGACAGAAGGTCCCCAGGCCTGTGAGCCAATGAGATGAGAGTGAAGTCACTTCCTGTACTGACAGAAAAACCCAGTAGGTTCACTTTCATCAGGTTTTTATTGCTCAAAAGTTTCCATCCAAATGAAAACTCAGTCAGGAGTCAAAGTTTGATTAATTGGATGATAACAGCTGGTTGAGATGATGAGGTAATTAAAAGAATCAGAAGAATCAGAAAAGACCTCCAGTCAAAGGTCAAATGTGATGGAAATCAGACACATGGTCAGTCTCCTCATCGCTCCACACAGACACAATGTTTTCAGCTCTTCATTTTAAGGCTGCAGTCACTAAAAGACAGTTTATTGTTGAGTCTCGTTCTCAGGTTGTCAAAAAATGATGCTTTGGGACCAGGGAATGATATTCAACATTTAACTATCTTCTCGGCTCTGATTGGTTAAATCCAGATATTCTGATCCATTGGGACCGTATGCCACAAAGCTTATCAATTCCTTTAATCAATGCCGGCATTTGTTTGTCTGACAGTTGCACATTGTAAAACAATGATGTCAAACTCATGGATCAGCTGCTGGAAACTAGTAACAAGAAGGATGCTGATGGTGGTGGAGAGGAAGAAACGGCCCAAAGTGTGGCTCCATTTTACAAAGAAACTCAAACTACAAGCTAGTTCCATCTGATCTTTATTGGAGCACAGAGCAGGAAGTGGCAGAGTTTAGGAAGGGTCAGTTACTGTCCGCTTCAATTAATCTGCTGATTATTTTCTCCATTGTTTGGTCAGGAAACAGTGAAACATGCCGTTACAGTTTGTTGACCAACAGTAATTGGTCAAAAAACATAAAATCTGACACCTGAAGATGCTGAAACCATAAAATGTCATCAATCAATATTCAGCTGTTACCTGACAAACATAAAGTTCAAACTATTAAGTAACTGAATGTTGATCCATTGTGTTACTTAAAGGTGTAGGGAATGTGACGCTCAGGTGTGTGATGCTACCTGCTGCTATTCTGTCTGTGTTTGCTGAAGTGACGGACTGCTCCTTTAAAGTGTATTAAACAGCTTCTGAATACTCAGCGTGTAATAATCAGCTCCAGTTACGGGGCTCAATATATAAACAGCATTATACAATCTATAACCTGACCGATCGATCAATATCTATCTCTGAAGTGACCTGAACTCGTCCTGATGGAGTCCTGAGGACCCGTCTGTCTGTCTGTCTGTCTGTCTGTCTGTCTCTGTGTCACATGGTACTGATGATGATGATAATGATGAAGATGATGATGATGATGATGATGACAATGATGATGATGATGAAGGAGGATGTCTGTGATGCTTTCAGTTCACTGTGTCTCTTACTGCCTCAGCATTAAAGTGTCATTATTGCCTTTAATAGGTCTCACTTTATTTATACAGTCAGTGGTATTAATACACAGTGTGTACGGATATACACATTAATTAATAATAATAATAATA